GAAGCTCAGAAAGTGAGAAGAACGACTTGAGAAGGAAGTGGCCAACAGCACAACATCCAGGGCCCAACAAATGTCTTCATCTTGCAGCAGGTTGTGTCTGCAGAGAGCTGTGGGTGATGGTGTGGGGTGCAAAGTAGGGGCCCTGCTGCACACACTGGGGCAGGGTGGCTGCTGAACAGTGCAGGGAGGGACATTCTTTGTCCAAAGAGAGAAGGCATTCAGTTTGCTCTGTTGCAGGGATGGAACCCAAAAGACAGGGACAGAATCCAGAAGGCTGATGGTGAGGTGAGGTGCTCTGCAGAGGGGGGCTGGCTCCTCAGGAAGAGCACTAACCACTCCAGCCCGTCACTGGGTGAAAGGGGGAGGGGCTGACCACAGCATCTAGAAGTTGCTAGGGCAGTGCAGGAGGCAGGCCTTTTGGAAGCTCACATCTGGAGGACTCGCTTTCCTTACCAAGCCCTGCCTCAGAACCCCATGGCCAGTGCCCAGCATGGCCCTCTGGCTCTGCCCCACTCCCCAGCCTCAGCCAGACTTCACGCCCCAAGGGCACAGGCTGTCCCAGCACACATCACAGCTGTCATTTGACTTTATTACGTTACATATATATATTTAAAAATTTTTTTTAATGTTTATTTTTGAGAGAGAGAGAGAGACAGAGCACTAGTGGGGGAGGGACAGAGAGAGGAGAGGGAGACACAGAATCCAAAGCAGGGTCTAGGCTCTGAGCTGGGTCAGAGCAGGGTCCAGGCTCTGAGCTGTCAGCACATAGACCGACACAGGCCTCGAACTCAGTAACTGTGAGATCATGACCTGAGCTGAAGTCGGACGCTTGACTGAGCCACCCAGGCGCCCCACGTTACATATATTTTTAATGTTTATTTTTGAGAGAGACAGAGTGCGAGCAGGGAATGGGCAGAGAGAGAGGGAGACGCAGAATCCGAAGCAGGCTCCGGGCTCCGAGCTGTCAGCACAGAGCCTGAAGCAGGGCTCGAACCTACCAGCCGTGGATCATGACCTGAGCTGAAGTCAGATGCTTAACGGAAGGAGCCACCCAGGCACCCCAGCTTTCCTACATTAATGCCAATCTCCTTTCTACAACTGGAAGTTCTATGAGAGAAACGCCCACGTCTGTGACTTGCTCCCAAGTGCTGAGCACCAAGCCAGGCACATGATGGGTGCTCAATGAATTTCATAGAATTGACGAATGACTGAGGGTACAGAGAGGGGAGGGCAGGAAAGACTTTGCAAAGGGAGGGTGGACAGAGCGGGGTCCCGCCTGTCTCCTCACAATTCTCACTGGCTTCCAGTTGTGTTCTGGCACTGATGGGAGTTGGGAAGCTAAGAGGGGCATGGTTCCCCGGCTCCACAGCAGCAACTCAGAGGCACAGACACCCCTGGCCAGAGCCACACGGTTTTCCCTTTTGCTAACACCTAACGCCTGAATAACAGCCCCTCTGCTTGAAACCAGGAGCCATTTCTCTTTCGTACCCCTCAGTCAGCAAGGAACCTGATAGTCTGCCCGTTTTCCATGTCGCAGGCAACTTGCCAAACAAGGGCGGTGGGTGGGCAAGGGAATATTAAGCAGAAGCCTACCTAAGGCGGCTCTGGTCCAACAGGGATAAGAAAATGGGTCCGTCCTACCAGGGCGTCCCCAGGCCTTCACTGCAACAGGCACACTGTGACCGCTGTGGATCCCGGTGGGGAACAAGT